GTCTATGAAAGCAACACTGTGAAGATTTACTTTGATAATGTCATACAAGTCAAAGGAAGCAGGTAAATACTTAAATAAGGCTTTGGGTTTTATCATAAAAGTTGATACGTTTCTGAGTTTTAAAGGTTTAAAGTAGCCTATCCTTCACGGTAATCACTATAATTATCCTAACTCCTCCCGCCACCACCTATCTCAGTTTGAAGCAAGCATAAATATGGCATCTTCAATAAAAAAAGACAATTTCCTTTTTGGTATAGAGCCCAGGAGAAAAAAGTATACCTTCTGACAAATCAGAAAGTCTGAGGGTTTGATGACCCATGAAGATGTGTTTCTGCAACACAAYAGGGGTAGCTCCTGTATGCTGCTAAACTATTTTGTTCTTCTTCAAGAGTTGGACCCTGACAAGGCAAATCAGTTCTCCTTTCACGTTTCCTTTACATTTGCACACGTTGTAACCTCTAACATACATGTCCGTGCGCATGTGGTTTTCAAGACATGTTTTTGAAATGTGGCTACTTTTTATGCTGGATAGAGGAAACCAAATCCAAACCAGTTTTGACTTTTCTGACCTCACCAAGCCCCTTAAATTAGACCATATTTTATACCATGTTTGTCTGAATTAGCAACAGTTATTCTAGGCAGTACACGCTATCTTCATGTAATCTACAAGGTTTAAATCTAAATATTCCAATACTGTTGAGTAAAAGTAAAAACTGCGTAATACATTCCAAGATGAATTTTTAGTTTTTTTGTGAAAGTTGGCTCTTCTTACCTTAAGGTTGTTGGCTATCGTTTTTATTTTATTTTTGTCACTAAATGGAATGTATGAACAAAACACACTATACCAGAGGCATTAGTTTCTTTTTATGTTTATCCTTTTTTTTCTTCCTATTTTGAACCTGTGCCTTCATGTGCTTTTCATCTTTGCCATTATAACTGTTACAGCATTATACTATTATCTTAGCTGCAATGTAGTAATAACAAAAGGTGAGTGCTAATGGACATACAATGTCACCACCACTACTACTACTACTACTACTACTACTACTACTACTACTACTACTACTACTACTACTACTACTACTACTACTACTACTACTAATAA